TTGACAGCAGCCTCCACTGGGCAGAGGCGGGGGCCATGCCTTCCAGAAGAGCAAGCACCCGCACTTGCGGCCTTGCTCCCACTGTTGCTGCTTTGCTCTGGTGGGGACAGGCAGGTGGTGCTGGGGACATGAGAGAAAAGGGTTGCCCCTTCTTCTCTTCCAGCCCAATTTCTGCTGTTTCTGTTTGTGTTACTGCTTCTAGGCCACCTTCCTCTACCTCTGCTGTGGGAACTACAGGTTGGTCTCTGCACAGAGGACAGGCCCTCAGCTGAGGAAGGGTGCTTCCTCATGGTCAGCATACACTGCTGTTCTCTACTCAGCTGCCAGGACCACATCCTCCAAGTCTGGGTCTCCAGACACACACTGGGCCAGATGGAGACGGTGGAAGATGCCTGCCACGAGCACCCCAGTGAAATGGTCCAGACAAGCTCCCCTTGTGAAGACACAGTTCCAAGGGACCAGCAGTCCAAACATATTTGCTGAGCCCTCTCCTCGAGAGGAGGACCCCGCTAGAGCATATGAGGCACGGGGTTCCTGCTTTCCCCAAGAAAGGCCAACACAGCCAATGTCTCCGTCACAGTATCCCTCAGCCCCATGAGCGTGCGAATGCCTGCTCAGGCTGGGCCAAGCAGGAGTGAGCACGGCTGGGCATGGAGAAGCTGTGGAGTGTGACTAAAGGGTTCTGGCCCAGACATGCAAGCGCACAGTCTACCCAGCTGCTAAGCCCAGGGACATTTAGGGTCTGTCAGAGCTCCTGTCTGACGGAGGAAAGTAACGAGGCCGGATTTGTTCCAGATGAGAGGCCCTCAGCTGCCACCACTTAGCTCTACACTGCTGCGCCCAGCCTGGCTTCGTGGAAGGACTGTGCAGTGCCACAGGTGTGTGCAATTCACACACCACAAGGACATCTGGGCAACTACTGTGCATGTGTGTGCATGCCTGTGGCGGCCAGAGGTCAACACCAGGTGTCTTTCTCTATCCCCTCTATCTTAAGTCTTGAGATGTGATCTCTCACTGAACCTGGCGCTCGCTAGAACCTGAGCCAGCTAGACAGGCTCACCAGCAGGTCCTGTTTCTACCTCCCCAGGGACAGGATTATATAAGCCACAAGAGCTGACTTTAGAAAACAAACCAACAGACATGGGACCAGGGCTCCAACTTGGGTCCTCATGTTGGTACAGCAAGCTTTTCCCATGAAGCCAGCCCCACAGCCTTGCACCCCGTATGTGTAGCCGATAGCTCCATGCAGGTACACCACCCCTCGGCCCACAGCGCCTCGAGGAGCAGCAGCTACCCTGCTCTGTCCCCGCCTCTGCAGCTGGCTGTGTTCACAGTTTCGAGTGAAGGGCAAGCTGACCTTCGGCACAGCTCTCGCTCAACTCTCTTTCTCTGAGGCAACCACTTCACAAGTGGCCCTCCTCAGGAGTTCATGAAGGACCAGCAGGAAAGGTCCTTGAGGCTCAGGAGAGGAATCAAAAGCAGAAGTGAGCTCTTGTTCCAGGAGGGCAGCTCAATAAGAGGGCCCCACCCTTGCCAGCTGGAGGAGAGCGAGACCGAGAGTCCACACTGCAGTGTCCCTTCTAACGGGAGCTGGGGTGGCCCAGCTCCTCAGTGGAAGTCCTTGGTGGGCTGCCCCTCTGAATGCCCTTGGGCCAGAGGGCAGCACAATGGGTCCCAGTTTGCCAACCCAGTAAAACAAGATGCCATACACAGCACAGTCCCCTTGCTCAATGACAATGACAAGTATACTGGCCACACTGGAAACTGAGGTACAATGATACATTGTCTGACATAGCTGGAAAGTTAGAGAGCAGAGCAAATGGGACCAAGTGCTAGTGCCAACAAAGAAGGGCTGTGCTGGTTATTGGCTTCTTTGTTTGTTTTAGTTTTGTACATGTTTGTATGTATGATTATTATTTTTTTGTCAACTTGACACAAGCTGGAGTCATCTGGGAAGAGATAGTCTCAGTGGAGGAACTTCCTCCATCACACTGGCCTGAGCAAGCCTGTGGAGCATTTTCCTGATTAATGGCTGATGTGGGCAGTGTCTGTCCTGAGCAGGCAGTGCTGGAAGTACAAGAAGGCAGGCTGAGCAAGCCATGAGGAACAAGCCACTAAGCAGCACTCCTCCGCGGTCTCTGCTTCAGTTCCTGCCTCACGGTTCCTGCCTCACGGTTCCTGCCTCGAGTTCCTGCCCTGGCTTCCTTCAGGGACAGACTGTGATCTGATTAGGACATGTAAGTCAAATAAACCCTTTCCTCCCCAAGCTGCTTTTGTGCTCATGGTGTTTATCACTGTGACAGAAATCAAATTAGGATGAAGGCTGAAGGTGGCAGAAGACAACCTGTGGGAGGCAGGCCTCAGGAGACCCATGCCAGGCTCAAGGAGGGCAGGAGCCAGGCTGGTATGCTTAACACCTACATGCCTCGTCCAGCCTGCGCTATCTGCCGAGTTTACTGCACTGTGGCCTGCTTACCTGGACTTCTACCACTCATGCTCCAAGCCCACAGGAGTCACCCCGACATCCCCACTTGCCCTCTGCTGGAAAGTAGTTGCACCAGCAGAGGGGCTGCGGCCCCTCCAAACTCACTGACCTGTTTCTTACTAGCTCCAAAGACTCACAGCTGTGTTCTCCGAAGTAGACAGAAGGCTTTGATCTTAGTGTGGAAGATGTTAATAGCAAAGTCCCTTTTTAAAATTTAAAAATCATCAGACCTGAAGTGTACCAGCCTCTCTTCCAGCAAACCCGACACACTCTGATCCACAATCCCACCAAACACACAGAGGCTGTGGGGAGGAGAGGCCCACAGACAGCACAGTGCCAGCACGGTGCCTGTGGCATGGGGAGAGTGGGGCCAGCCCACTCTGTAAACTTGACGTTTGCCCACCCCCAAATCCAACCCTCTGCCCACCAGCTGACATGGAGCTGGTACACAGGGCAATGGGCCTTGTGTGGCCCCAAGGACCCTGTAGGGCACTGAGTGCAGGCCAGCAAGTGCTTCACCTCAGCCCCCAGCCCTACAGATAGCACCTCTGCCAGCACCTCCCCATCAGCTGCAAACAAAAGCTGCCCTGACTCTGCTGTCCTTGGCTTCAGGGACCTGCAGCCCACAAGGAATATGTTTCCAGGTCCACTAGACAGCTCCCAACATGAGTGCACACAGGGTCTTTATCACAGAATAGATGTTGAGGAGTATCAGTGAAAGGTTTTTGTTGCTGCCCAGGAGCAGCCTCTCCGGCTTGGCTGAATCTCACAATGAATGCTTCCCAGCACTTGGCCAGGGCACGACTGTCTGGCCTTGCCAGGTCCCTCTGCCTGGCCTAGGTGGCCAGTGGTGCCTGATGCCTAATGCTACAAATCAGATCATGTCACTTTTTTGCTTTAAAGTGCCTAATGGCTTCCCACCACTCACAGGATAAAAATCCCGACACTCACTGGGGCCACACTAATTCTCTAGTCCCCCAAGACAGCTCCAGCACCAACTTGTCCTTTTGTACTGAAATGCATGTCTCCAGATGCCAGCTCTCACAGCACTACCCATTATTAAGCAGCCACAAGTCCATGTGAATAATATCCCCATTAAGCTATGAGCTGACGAAGACGGAGTGTGTGGCTCTCCTGGCCAGTCAATTATCCACTCTGCTCTGCCCTGACAGCAGACAGCACACAGCACATGCCACGCTGGGACAAATGCAAACAAACAGCTCTGCGCCTGGTATCCCCACAGAGCCACTTCCCAGGCCTGGGTCTGTGTGAGAAGTGCTTTGGCAATGAGAGGAAACCTCCATCCCACAAGGGACCTTAGCACTGTTCACCCAAGACTTCTGGGAAAGGGGCCAAGAAATAAGCCTTTCTTATTCTGACCTCAACAGCCTTGTAAAGCAGGGAGACCAGCCACTACCCAAAGACAGACAGAAGTTGGAAGAGCCTAACAGAGCCGAGGTCAAGTCCACACAGAGGCAGGACCCCCATACAGTCTCTGGGACACCAAGAGGCCTGCCAGAGCGGACTGCTTCCCCTTCCCCAAGCTCCATGCCACCTCATCAAGAGACCACTCAGTGTCTTCAGGGCTGTCTTGTTCCCCAGGCCCCAGCTCACTCCCCAGAAGCAGATCCTAGTGTGTCAGGGTCTAGATGCAAAGCAGAAGCCAGTGGCCAACTTACTACATTCATTCTGCAGCCACTCACAAGAGGCCAGGGTAGGGGTGACAGCCATTCCATAGCCGTTTCAGAATGGCCAGTGCAGGCCAGAGGGGAACCTGGAGGCAGTTCGGAGTTGGGGTCCCCTATAAGAAAAGCTGGGTGTGGAGACATGTGCCTGTAGCCCCCAGTGCTGGGGAGGCAGGAACATGAAGGTTCCTGGGGCACACTGCCAGCCAAGCTAGCTGAGATGGGGAGCTCCAGGTTCAGTGAGAGACCACCAGAACTAAGGTGGGCAACACCTGAAGAAAACACCTATAACATACATGCATACATATAAACACACACACACACACTCATACACACACACACACACACACACACACACACACACACACACACACACACCACACATACACACACACCACACACACACACACACACAAACGGCAACAAGTTCTCTCCAACCACGCACCACAGTGTGCCACAAACATTCACCCCGGAGCTTGGCCAGACTGGTCATCTTTCTGTGAGGCAGTCTCTGAAAGATGTCTGTTCCCACCCTTCCACCCACTGCTGGCTTCGGGCCCCTCGACCAGCTAGGCCTGGTGTCTCGTGTGGCTAGCAGAAAGGCAAGTCCCTGTGGACACCCCGATAGGGGTGTCTGCTCCCCTTGAGTGTGGAGGACGAATGCTGAGGGGCTGTCAGTGACCTAGGAGATGACACTAGAAAGGCAGGGTCTCAGGAGGCCAGGGAACAGAAACAAACAACCTTGGGAAGGCGAGAAGGCAGGGGCTCTGGTGGGCTTGGCTCTAGGGTGTGATATGTGTGGCAGCAGAGGCCAAGAGAGGAGGCCATACCTGAGCGCATCTACCTCCTCTTTGCAGAACGGGAAGCTGGCCTCGGCTGAGCTTGTCTGGGCCTTCAGCATCTTCAACTCCATCTCCAGCTATGAGGAAACATAGGGTAAGTGGTCAGCATATACAGGACCCACAGCCCAGATCCCTGCTCCATCTGCAAATTCCCGAAGTCTGAGCCTGCACACCCCCATGCTGGATGCCTAGATTATGCGGAGGACCTGACGAAGAGGGCCGTTTGCCTGGCCAGCCTGGATCCACCAGGCCACATATGTCATTCTGAGTCAGGTAAACAAAGTCCTTTCTCTTTCCCATGCTCCCGTTCCAAGACTGAGGGAGGAGACACACAGTCAGGCATTGACACGCTGCTGAGTGCTACAGAGCCTTGAATTGCCACTGCTTGGATGGAAGAGTCACAGCATTTCCTACAGGGTGACACGAGCTCAGTCTGTCCAGAGCCAAGGTCTGCAAGCTGCTGGAAGGGATGGAGGTGGCAGATAGGGAGCAAGACAGAGCCCAGGCCCTAGAGAGACACAAGAAGACACAGGCAAGCTCAATTGGCCAGGCCCAGGAAGAAAGCAGCTGGCCGCTCAACTAGGGGCTTCCTGAGAAGCAGGAAGCTCCCCCAGAGCTGACCCTTGCTCCTTGAGTGTCCTCCCCATCCCTCCCAACAGATGCAGGGGCTAGCAGAACACAATGCCAGCAGCCTTCAAGGAGAACAGAAACCCCCCTAGGGGTGGGCCGTGGGTCAGTGTCAACCCCTGCAGCCCAGCTCAGGCCCGCCACCCACCCATCTCCTGCCACATTTGGCCTCCGACACCAGGCTTTCCGGATGTCAGACCACAGGCCAGGTAACTTTACACATTCTGCTCTAGATACAGGACAGGAGGAACAGGACACAGTGTGTTTCTGTGGGCACATTCGGTGTGTGGATGTGCATGTATGGAGGTCAGGGGTCGGTCCTCAGGGGTCACCCCTTAGGAGCCCTCCAGCTTGCTGAGGGCTTGGGCACAGGCTCTGTCCCTAACGGAGACCCTTCCGATTGGGCCAGGTGGGCGGGTCAGCTGTCTGCACCTCCCCAGGCCTGGGGCTGCCTGAGTCCTGAGGCCCTCATGCCTACCCAGCAAGCACTCTACGAGCTGACCTCTCCTCCCGGCCCCAAGATCAGTGTCAACTTAACATGCTGCCGGCTTTCGCTCCTAACACACCGACGCTGCCATTCATGGCACAGCTCCCCATGGCAAGGCGCACGCGACACGGCGCTTGCTTCCAGAGAGCCCTGCCTTCCTCCAGGCTCTGATGCGGTTTATAGGCTGGAGCAGGCCACACAACCCTGAGAATCTGATAGAGGGCCCTGGCTGTGCTGGGCAGATCCCAGCAAACTTGCCTTGCTCATTGCTGAGGGAGGTGGCAAGGCTGCAAGGCTGCAAGGCTGCAAGGCCTTACCGTAGGTAAGAGGTGCGCGCATTAGTGAACACGAGTGCATGCACACAGGAGCACATGGAGCCACACTGCAGGTGCAGGTCACAGGATGACATGCAGACACTGGTTCTGTCCTTCCACCGTATGGGTCCTACAGATCACCAGGAGTGTATGGAGCCTTTACCTGCTAGGTCACCTTGCTAGCCTCATAAAAGAGTCCTCAATTGTAAAATCTGTAGCTTTGGTGGGACCATGACACACACACGCACACACTGTTATCATGGAAACGCTTCTCTGTGAACTTCTATGCTCCCTACAGAGCACAGTACAGATGTCTGTGTGCACCTTCAGTACCAAGACTCACATCTGCCCGCCTCCAGCAACACTTTATGGCTTGAATTCAGATGAGGCATGAATAGCTGATGCCTGCTCCGATGCTTACAAATGCCAAGTGGCCTTGGCAGCCACCTGTTCCAATTTCTTTGGTTCCACGTGGAACTCATCAGAAAGTCTTTTCCTTTTAGTAGCAGAGTTTAGCCCATTTATATCTTGCTATCTGTCTGTATTGATTTCTACTGCATTAGGCTGCTGTGCTTTCTGTCTTCTGGCTTTGTCAGAGTGTTTCTTTTTATATGTCTGGATAGTCAGCCTTTGTGCTGTTAAGTGCTTTATGCTGCAGCCATACTTTTCGGTGCTGGGCCGTACCAAGGACATGTCCCACTGAATGTCTGACTAGTTATGCCATACTCCTCACTTGTTAACTATACACAGTCGGTGACAATTAAAGCATGTGTTCACCTGCTGGGCCAAATGCCCAGATAAAGCTTGCGACAGTCTGGTGGCTCAGCACTGATTCAGTACACTTAGACTTCTTTCTCCAGCATGGGCCGTGGCACCCATCCCCGGGGCCCTGGACAGCTCCGTAGGCCTCCTCCATCAGCTCCCCATACTCAGACCACCAGAAATCCATCATGAGGTTTTAAAAGTCTCTCGCTTACACACAGCACATGCAGACTGTGGGCTCCTCGGCCTTTCTGCTCTTGCACCCCGCCTCCCATAGCCAATCCTACCCTCTCCATTAAAGAGAGGCCCTGCCACCCTAATGCTCTGGTGGGTCCAGAAACACAGCTAAATATGCTTGCACTTCATGGTAACGTTCCAGAGCACCTTCCTACTCCTGCTGGCAGCGACGGGCAGCCCTTGCTTTGTTCCCTGAGCTTTGCTGTATTCCGTCTTCCGTCCTGGTGTTTCTAAACAGCTGCATCCTGCATTACCTGGCACTCATGGACCCATGTTCTGACTGCCCACGTGAGCTGCATCTTCCCCGTGGTCAGACAAGGCTCTCACAGCCATGCTGTTCAGACTCTGCCATGGCACTCCATCCCAGGACCCTGTGATCTTCCACTCCCTCCATGCCAGCTGTCTTTCCTTGCCCAGCACCTCGTCGTGCCCCAGGCAGGTGCCTATACCCCACCTTCCCCATACAAACACTGTACACAATCCACACAAATGCTGGCCTTCCACCAGGGGCCACGTGCCTCCTGCTTGTGGCTTGTTTCTATGCTATTTCTGTTTGGCCAAAACTTAAGTTTGCTGCTTTGTTTTGATTCCTGTGATTTCTGCACGGCCTGCAGGGGAAGATGAAAAGTGCTGCCTCATGCCACAACATTCAGAGTCAACATGGATCCTCTCATTCCAATCTTCAGCCTCAGGTTTACACTCAATACTCCCCTCTCCCAGGGACAGTTCTCTTTCCCTGCTGAGCCTGCACCAGGCATGCTTCCTAGCCACGATCTGGTGGCTGACCCAACGTGATGCTGGTCCACCTGTCCTACTGGTCAGCACCGGCTCCCACGTTTGCACTCCTGTCCTGACCCACTGTTTAAGACTATAGTTGGCATAATAAGGCTATGGTGAGTTTCTGATCTAGAACCACCTCGTACCCAGCTCTTTAAGCACAAGGATTGCACCTCCTCTAGGAGGTGCCAAGAATGATTCACTTATTATTTGCACTGTGGGGGATGAAACCAAGTGCTCTACCAAGCCCCTCACTGGGGGATTCTAAGCAGGTGCTCTGCCACTGAGCCACACCCCAGCCCCTCACTGGGGGATTCTAAGCAGCTGCTCTGCCACTGAGCCACACCCCAGCCCCTCACTGGGGGATTCTTTTTGTTGTTGTCGTTTTGAGGCAGGGTTTCCTTGTGTAGCCCTAGATGTCCTGGCTTCATAAGCCAAGAGTCCTGCCAGTCCTTTGGTGGGCATCTGATCCCCTCTAGGCAATAGAAACTGACTCATGTTTGGGATTGGTAGACAAGGGATGAAGGGAAGAGGAATTTGGTTATGCATCAATGTTGTAGCCTATACCTATCTATTTTCTACCTCAGTGAGGAGAACCTAGGTCTAGAGTCAGTTATAAAAACAAGAAAACATGGGACTAATTGGATTGCGTCTTCAGGGACCCTGCCAAATGCCTCAAACCATGGGCCAGATTCCAAACTCATCCTGCTAAAAGGATTTCACACACAAAGTGCTTTTTGGAGGGCTCATCTGCAGCTGAGCAGCGGGGTCCCCCCCCCCCCCACGCCGGCCAAGTGGCTGGGCGAGGCAAAGAGGAGCCCTGTGCCTGCTGGGTGGGGGTTGCTTCACCACCTGCTGCTGCCCCATCTCCTGCTCTGTTCAAGCTGAATGTCCTAGAGAGGCCGGTGCTGCCCACCCCACTGTCAGAGGCCAGTGGGCATGTGAGTATTTGCCTGTTTGGCACTCTCCCGAAAGGTCAGCTACTGCACCTGACATCCTTCCAGGTGTGGCTGGACGCCAGGCTCTGGCCACAGCCAGCATGTGTCTCTCGGCAGGCTATGCCCATGTGTACTGGAGATGGGAACAGGGACACTGCCTGCCGCCCGCTCAAGACTCAGGAGCTCAGGGTCACCCAGTTCTGTAAGATATAGGTAAAAGTTGAGGATGATTGCTCTTCCAAACTAGGCCCTCCATTTCCAGGCTCCTATTCCAATGTTGTCCACCTTACTGCAGGGCAGCTAAGCTGTAGGACCACAGGGCCAGGCAAGTGTCCGGGCAAGTGTCCCAGGCCTGGCTGAAGGATATAAGGAGGAACACAGAAGACCCTAAGGCGGAGCTGGATGAGCCAGGATGTGCTCTCAGTCAGGGCAAAGAACATGAAAGACTCAGCCTGCCAGTGACCTGAGCAACCTCTGTAGTGAGAATTTGGGTTTCTTTAAAGACCCAGTTATGTTATGTGAGTATGTTCTTGTTTTAATCCCAGGTGTGGGGTACGGGGCTGCTTTAGTTTGACCACAGTCATTCTGATTGTCCCATGCCCTAGGAGGGGAGTGATTTTTGCCAACTGAAGACAGTTTAAATCTGGGGGCTCTAAAGAGGGCATAAATGAGTCCCAAGAGGACCTAGAGCAGCTGCTGCTCCTCCTGTTGCTGTGTTTGCTATTGCTGGGTTTCTGGGTATTCTGTTGACAAAGTCTGCCCCAGGAACCTGAGGCTGTTGATCAGCAGGAAGTCTTCTAAGGAGGTCTATGTGCCCTTTCCCCTCTAACTTTTCTAACCTACCTAGTATCAGAGGGTTGGAAGGGACTAGGCTGAAGAGTGGTAGATATAAGAACCCAATAAATGAGCCTGAAAAACAGTATGCCTACAAGTGG